GTGTGAGATTTTCGGGCTTTTAGGCCGTCGGGGAAAATAATTTCACGATTGGCTCGCATCTTCAGAGGTGTTGTCAACAAACCTCAAGCAAATCACCTCTGAAAATAGAATCATGGGGCCAAAATGTAAATCGCCAGAAACACTTTTGATAGGTTTCCACGCTAGACTTTTTCTAGAGAGCTACATTTGGTGAAAACTGCAAATTATGACGCTCAACTTTGAGAATCTTCACAAAGTGAATCATTCGAGCGACTTGAACGAAATTTTACAAGTAAATACCCTGATGGTTCCTGTATGAACTGGCGAAATTGCCAGAATCTGCTTGGGTCGGTTTCACAGTTAGAATTTTTTTGCTAGGACCGCACTTGTCAAAAAAAGCAAATGTTTTCATTCAACTTTGACATTTTGCAAAAACCAGCCGCTAGAACGACTTAAATAAAACTTGTTCATTAATAAGCATGATGGTTCCTTTATAGGACTCGCAAAAGTGGCGGAACCTCCTTCAATTGGTTTCCACGCCAGTTTTTTTCTAGAGAGCTACATTTGGTAAAAACTGCAAATTATGACGTTCAACTTTGAGAATCTTCACAAAGTGAATCAATCGAGCGACTTGAACGAAATTTCACAAGTAAATACCTTGATGATTCCGCACTTGACGCAAAATGTAAAGCCTTTCATTCATGGTTACCATTGAAAAAAACAATAGCCGATAAAGCGTCTTAAACAATATTTGTTAGGTAAATTTCTTCCGGGTTCCTTAATGAAATTTTTGAACCCTCAATTGGTTTTTGAGTCAGAGTTTTGTTTCTATAGAGCCACCCTTGGCCTGCACCGCAAAATGTGATTCTCAACTTTGAGCGTCTTTAAAAAGTGAATTAATCGCGCGCCACTTAAACTACATTTCATAGATACGCAGGCTGACGGTTTCTTTATGAACCTAGAAAATTTTTGCGAAAAGTCGGGGAGAAGGTGTTATCAACGTCAGGAAAAGTCATCAGTTTGCGCCTCTAAAGATGTTTATAAAACCCGCAACTGAAAAGGAAGAAATTGGAAGTTTTGGTGCTTCATAGAAGAAACATTGGAAATGGAACTAGTCGGATCGGAAAAGCTGGTCTTCGATGTCCTCCAATTGGAACCTTTTTTGAATAGTTCCGATTTATTATATTAAATCGATTGTCCTTTTAAGCGTTACCCGGTATTCACGGTCCGATAGGTCGATCGCGGAAAAAGCGCACTACAAGTAATAAAATTTGAAAAAACCGCGTTAGTGATTAATTCTTATAATTGTCTTTATGGCTTAATCCCATATAGGAGATACGGTTTTTTCGTTTTATTGGCATTTATAAGCGTCCGTGGTTCTTCTCCGTCGATCAGCAGAAAAATAAAGAGTTTAACGTTGAGGTATGGCCGCCATTAAGTTGATTTAGACGGTGTTGGTTTTTTTGCGTGAAACTTCCCATTTGATTTATTCACCCATGGTCAGTCACCATCAGTTCGGTTGTATCAATTCGCTTATTGAACTGAACTGAACAGTTACGATGACGATCGCGTGTCATCCGACGGCACGCCTCTATGGGAAAAATTCGATTACATCAGCCTGCCTAATCAAATTTCATTGTGCGTAGTTGAAATCCCATTGTCAATATCGGCGTTCGATAGTCATAAAAGTGACCAATAAAAATGATTGCTCAATTTTTATTGGTCGCTAGTTGTCGGTGATCCGAGGACACACCTATCGCAGACCGTTGCCTGCCCAGCAATGTCATCATCGGGCAATTTTCGACGATGACACCCTGCTGTTTGCTGCAGTCGATCAATCGCTCTGATTCGATTCATGTTTGACCGGTAGCCAGTGTTGAAATTGCGATCAATCAATCACGGCCGGCTCATTAGGACCGCTTAAATGCCCATCGAGAAAATCGGATTAGTCAAGCTATAATTTTGTACAAATAACCATTTAATCCGACATCCGAACGATAATTATTATGAGGTTATGTTAAAAGGCTAGTTAAAACGAGGCGAAACGTTCGGATCCATGTAAAATATGGCATTTCTTTCACGGTGTCAAAATAATTAGGATTAGTACGGTTCCCTAATGATAGCGGCCAACATTTTAGTAAGCTCATTAACTCGTCCGCATGGAAAGGCCAATCTTCGATTTATATGTGAAATTACCCGGTATTATGCGGAAGCTTTGTATGATGGTTTAGAGGACCACCAGCACGATATGGGCCGCGTTTCCCTTGTAACTTCATCTAAACGAGCCATTCAACTGATGATATAACAGTAAATCAAAGACGGTCAATTAAAGGCACCTGTGGAAATTTCGGCACGGTCCGATGGCAAAACAATGGCACTTTGCCCGAAATGTCGCCAAACGGGCCACTTCAATTGTTTACCAGTCGTTACTGTTTCAAGTGCGATAATAGCAACATTATTCATTCCATCTGACAGACAAAGAGGCGCGTTTTTGACCTCACAGCTCGATGGCACTTGTTGTCCAACCCAGATGCGAACAATCTATCAATAGCAACTGTCTGAACAGCGCTAGTTTTGTCCAGTTGGAAAATTAATTCATTGTCTGAGTCGCTTTATCGAGTAATTTTAAGAATAATTTTCATTCAAAAACCACTGGAAGGACGCTCTGCCAATTTTGTCCGTTCATTAGAGAATCCTCAAGCTGTTTGCCTGTGAAACTACGTTTCAATCGCTCGATTGGTTCATTTTTTACACACTGTCGAAGTTGAGTGCACATTTTTGCAATTCGGTCCAGTGAATGTGAAATTTTTGCTGCATCAAGCTGCTTCCGTAGGAAATTCCCAAGTCGCTTTAAGTCGCTCCACTGAATCATCATTTTTTTTAAATCTGAAAATTTAGGGTAGACATTTGAAAATGGGCCAAAAAATCGAAATCTTCATCCTACTAAAGAAGCAATTTTATCCGCCCACCAAGGACTGAAATGCGTTTTATAAACTGATGAGTTTTTCGTCAAAAAAACACGCAAATCTGAAGCTTTTTGAAATCAAGAGTTTGTTGAGAAAACTACTAACATTTTCTTATCGATGGTTCACTTTCTAAAAAGGCCATTTAGTTCACTCTGAAATGACGTAAAATTGAGCGTTCGTGCACATTTTTTGTTTCCGAGAAATGAGCAAAAACAGAACGAAAAACACGACATTTTTCTGTGAATGTGTCTGATATACAAATTTCGCTTTCTGGGTCAAAACTTCTCAAATTTCCTCATGTTGTTATGACTGAGTTTTCAATTTTTTGCGTTTCAACGAGCATTTTTGCGCAATTGAGCGACGGAAAATTTCTAATTTCATAGACAACAAAAGACTGAATTTCCCCCCTGAAATGAAAACTGGATCCGCCCCTGGACTGTGTACCAGTAAACCGCGTACAAAATGCATCCGTTCCTCGGCTCGCACGTAATGACTGAGGCCGATTACCTACGAAATTAAAATAATAACTAATTGATGTTGATAATAATTATAATAACTTTATGTTTCTTCACTTGGTAATTTTTTTCTCGATCTTCTGCGTATCGTCCCATTTCATCACGTCATAGTTTAAACGGTCTATTCTACATTATTGTTGTGATAATTACAGGATGATCCGCTGTCGGTGCCAGAAGACATTGATGGTGATTCGGTTTGTTGCTGCTTTTTCCGTGGTATGCATCGGATGAAGACTAAAGTGAATGTTGGGGGTTTTTGCGTCGCCGTCTGTTTGCTCTTTTGTGTGTTTTTTATGCTAAAAGCTGCCAAAATTGGGCATCAAAGTACCTCATTCTCTTCCGATGTAAATGCAAAATGCAAATCGTCCACCACTCGCGCCGTAATTAAGTGCCGTTCTTGTCAAAACGAGCGGAAATAACTCATCGACAGAGACCCAGTTAAGGCAAGGTGAAGGGCACCGAATCGATGTCTTCAAGTAAAGTAAAAGTATCAGGTTGATCGAGTTTTTGG